AATCATTTATCCACTTTGAAACGATGTTACTGTAAAACTTTGCTGTAGAAATGATACCAAAAAATCAAAAAATGAGAGAAAATGACATGCATACAAACTTTTCATATTTCCATTAATAGAACTGAAGATAATGTTCACACATACATAGCTACATTTTTTTTAGAGAAAAGCAGAATAGAATTATTGGCATATTCACAATCCATATTTATTTATTTCCAAGACCATCTTCAGTTTTTTTTTCAAATATTGTACAAATCGTTTCATTGGCTATGGGGAATCTGAAGATAAACTTGAGGTAGTCTTTAATACACGATCCGACTATAGGTTATAGAATCATATACCCTTTTTGAATCCACGCAATTCTGTTGGAAACATTTTCGTGTGACGTTAACTTTAAAAAGTATGTAACATATTATGTGTAAAATTTTTCTTTGTGCCTAAAATAATAAAGCTTGCTTGTAAAGTGAAATAAATTATATATATATATATGTGTGTATGTATATGTATACTATATTGTTATACAAACATTATATATTACAATTCTATATTATCTGTTCACAAAGTTTAATTAAAATCTTTTAATAAAAGTATTAAACAACATGTTTATTTTAAGCATAATAAATAATAACAATGAAAGTACTATTTTTGTAATGTTAATGTTTTTGCAGGACTGCTTTGGAGACTTTAATGGCAAATTTATTGATGAATGTAATTCATTTCTCAAGGAATGTCTGTGTAACTGCACAACGAAAACGCGTGGAGAAGTGTCTAGTTACGCTATTCATGTGTCTAGTATTAAGCCTTCGTCATTCTTTAACTATGACTGCAACTATTGATATTTTAAAAATGATTAATTTAATTTTTGATAAAAAATGTATGCTTCCCGATAGTAAGTATAAAGTATCGAAATATTGTGAAATAGAGGATACTTTTAAATATCATTTATATTGCCCTGTTTGTTTAAAATATTTAAAAATGCTAACTAGAATAGAAGCGGGAAAAAAAAGTATTTGCACGTGTAGTTCAGAAATTGAAGAATCGAGTACTAATGTTTTTATTACTTTGAATTTTCATGCTCAATTGAAAAGTTTGTTAGAGGATACAAACGTTAAAGAAAGTCTAAAGAGCAAATATCGTGGAAGAAATAATGGTTCTCTACAAGATATCTGCGATGGTACAATGTATAAAAAATTATGTAATCGCAATAAATTTTTAAATAATATGTGGAATTTTTCTTATACTTTCAATACAGATGGTTGTCAAGCTGCTAATTCTAGTAAAGTTAGTATTTGGCCTATTTATGCTACATTAAACGAATTACCTTATAAAATGAGATCAAAATACATGATGTTACTTGGTATATGGGTCAATAAACGTGAACCAAATTTGCAAATATTTTTACAACCCTTTGTAAAGGAAGCAAATTTTTTATCTACTTATGGTTTACAGTGGCAATATGATAAAAATACTATAATTACAAGCCGTATTATATCAGTATATTGTTGTGTAGATTCAGTTGCTCGACGAGCCATGTTGAATATGAAACAATTTAATGGTCATTATGGTTGCACATTTTGTGAACATCCAACCGAATATGTAGAGGGTTATCGAAAGTATCCAGTTTCAACAAATATTTTTCCTAATAGAACTAATGCATCTATAAAGCAAAATATGATTACTGCACATGCAACTTCGATTCCCATAAAAGGTGTGAAAGGACCTTCTCCATTAATGAGTTTAAAATATTTCGATTTGGTTAATGGAATGGTCGTGATTACATGCATTCAGTATTGTTAGGAGTTACTAAATAATTAACGGAAATGTACTTCTCTTACCCCGGGAAAAAATTTTATGTGGGACAGCCAAATATGTTTGAAACCATTAATAATCGATTGTTGCATATAAGACCACCAAAGAATATAACACGTCAACCGAGAAGTTTACATGAACGGTCATTATGGAAAGCTTCTGAATGGAGATCATGGCTGATGTGGTATTCTTTAGTATGTTTATATGGTATATTACCAAAAACTATGTAGCATATCTTGCACAGTTAGTCTGTGCAATTCATATTTTTTTACAAAAATTCATTTCAATCGACATGATACGAAAAGCAAATTTATTGCTAAAAAAATGTTATTTTATTTCAACAGTATTTTGGAAAACGTGCAATGACGTACAATGTCCATCTCTTACTACATCTTTCAAGCAGTGTAGAAAATTGGGGACCGTTATGGGCAATAAATACATTTCCGTTTGAAAATGAAAATAGATTATTGGTGCAAATGAAAAAATCTCCTACACATATTGCATTGCAAATTTCACGCAGGTTCCTATTGGAACAATCTCTTATAAAATTGTCTAGAAATTTTAAAATTTGTAACGAAGTGCAAAATTTTTGTAATAATACATACAAAAGGAAATTGAAATTTATTTCTAATACGCAACGTTATACTTTAATTGGTTCCGGGGAAGAATATATACTTAGCCCACAAGAAGCACAATGTTTTCAATATAGAGCACAATGTTTTCAATATAGAGTAATAAATTGTAAATCATATACGAAAATGATATATAATAACATTCGTTTTACGACAGAACGTTATACCAAAGCAAAAAAAACAAACGATTGTGTCGTTGAAATTGAAAATAATTCTTTTGGTATAATTACCAATATTTGCAGCTATAAGTATAATAAAGAAATCAAAATTATAATTTTCATCAAAGAAATAATATTAGATCCTAATCCTTTTATTTTGACAAATGATGTTACGATAACACATATACGAAAGTGCTTGATTAATAAATGTCCTCTACGAGCTATTAATCCTCACTCTTTATTAGGACAATGTATTTTAATAAACATCGATAATATGCACTATATATGTACTATTCCACAAGGTTGTTTCGGTGATTAAATAATATCCAAATAGCACAAATTTCCAAGGGATATTTTAGAACATATAATGTCTTGTGGACATCTTTTGCATATCATTAAAACGTCCTTTGCAAATATGCGCTGTCTAGGTGTACTGTACATATAATCCTTTGACACATTGCGGGTCATTCAGCATGTAAAAAACAGTTTCTTAAACAGGCAACACGTCCACATTTTGTGCATCTATAGTGAAATTATTTCATGCATCTCCGTAAAAATAAAGTTGCGTATTTATATAGACTCCAACTGTTTTGTTCATTTATTAATTGCATGAAATAAATAATCTCCAGTAAAAATGTAAACATATTACATGTTATATATTCTTTGTAATATTATAGAAAACATTAGTAATAAATAAGATTTGTATTTTAAATACAAACACAATTTATAAAATACGATATAAATTTATTTCGAAATATTGGATGTTACAAAACATTCGCATATCCTTTCATGTGCATGTTAAACTTATCAAACTGAGCAAAATGTCCTCTACTATTTTGCAAAATTACAGATAAAATTTTGAATTATTAATTATTAAAAATGGCAATGTTCATAGGTTTCTTTATTTAATAACTTAAACATTTTCATGTTGTTTACAAAATATTTAAGAACTGTTTTGTTCAGAATGACTTAATGTGCAAATATTTGATAACTGTCATATCTACTAACAGGCTCAAAGTCCAAGATTCAAAGTTCAATATCACTTTATCTGTCGCTAAATACGATAGTTATTTAATATTTGTTAATTTAGTCTTTCTGAACAAAACAGTTCTTTAACCATTTTTTAAATATACAAATTTTCCACTTATTAATTACAGAAATCTCTAAACATTGTTATTTTCAATTATTATTAATTTTATAAGTACTTTGCAAAGTGATAGAGAATTTTTTTTCTCAATTTCATGTGTTCTACTCTGTTTCTGTCGCTAATCTACCATCGAATCATGTCAGCAGGTTCTGCCAACAGGACATAAGCTTAATGCGGATGGCTGTTGTTTTGTTGTGGAATGCTAATAACAAATTGTTATCAATCTGGTAGCATATTGCTAACATTTTACTCACTAGTACATATTCATGCAGGAAACTAAGATTAAAATTTTTTTTAAATTTCGAAATGAGTATTGATTATATTTTCGATTTTATTTAACAGGAAATTTATATAATTTTTAAAAAGACGATATTTTACGATTGTTTTTTAGTATTTATTTTAACTATTGCTTCCATTTTACGTGAAAATTAATATGGTAACTTAGTATTTTCTAACATTTGAAATTCATTGAAAATCAGATTTTATAGGAGAAATTATTATGACAAAAAATGTTTGTATTATCCCTACATTTTTCGAAAGTGTTGGAAATATGACTTTTTCTGAAAAAGTATTGGAAACATAACTAACATTGAGCGGTCTTCATTATTATATAAAAAAGATAAAATCAGAGAAGACATGTTACATTTTCAAAAAAAATAAAATTTTATCATAAAAATCATTATTTGTTATAATGTCTGAAATATAATTTCAATTATTACGAAAATCTTTTATTTTTATACAAAATTAAATGATTAAATCAGGTCTATTACATTGAAATAGAATTTCACAATTTTTTGAATATTTTCAGAATTTTACTGAAAAGAAAAGAAGAAATCGGATTTTGTCACAAAAAATTTCGTACTTTCTATGAAAATTCCGCTTTTTAGATAAAGTCATAAATTATCATTAAAAAATTTTCATCAGGGGGGTAATGTAATTTGAGATTGAACAAATTACAATTACATATATGTAATAGTAATTATTGTATGGACAATTACAACATATGTAATTGTAATCTATCAATCTTAGATTACATTACCTGCAATTTTATAATTATAATAGATTATAAAATGCCCAACTTCATTATATATATCATATATAAACAATATTGTTTGTAACAGAATATTACAGCATAAGAATATAATCATATAGAAAATGTATATATGTTAGCTACATCTTTTAATATCTATTAATTAATATAAATATTAATTTTTCACTTATAGTAAAAGATATAAATTATGAGTAACAGCTTACCTATTCACAATTTACTATCTATCTTGGTATAACGCTTGATATAATGTCCTTTATATGAACTTTTAAAGACCCCATGTGACGACTTTATTATTTTCTCATGGTCTTAGCAAGCTGCTGCAATGTAACATATAAATTGTAATTACTTTTTTATATCTATTTATATATCAAACAAATTTAGGATTAAATATACTAACACATTTTGAGTCAAATATTGAGGTTAAGTTGTATCATTATTAGATTAACTTTATTAAGCTCGCGAAAACTTTATTGAAGATAGTTTCAACTGCAAATATATATATTTTTAATGGTAGAATTGTTAAAAATTATTCTTATACATATAACACTTGAATATTTTATCTTATCTCACGTTTTGGATCTTCACATGATAAGCCGTTAAATGTATGCGATATTCATAAATTTATGCAGAATAATAATTTTATAAGCGATTTGTTAATAATATATATTGAATACGAACAGATTATTTATTAGATAAGAGGATTACCTTAGATTCAAACGATCGATGTCTCATTCCAAGACCTATCAGACCAGATCCATCATCTATACTAAAATAGTAAATATAGTTCAACTTTAAGACCAGGTTTACAATAAAAGTGGTTGAGCTTGAAACATAGTTTACAATGAAGCTTTACGATTTAAAACTTAAGGAATTGACTTTGTTGCTGTACTTATAAGTTATATATTTCTTAATAATTATATATATAACTTCTTTAACATATGCATGATATATTCGATATAATACCTAGATATAACATTAATATAACATGTATATACAGGGTGCACGATTTATCTGAAGACATTGAAATATCTCGAGAACTATGCATTGGATAAAAAAAAGTGGTTAATGAAAGTTGTTAGTCTCGAAGGGGGACATCCAATGATACCAAACTCGACTTTCCACCCCAACCCCTGGGGGTGGGGCTTGGGGGCAACTTTGAAATCTTAAATGGAAACCCCCATTTTTTATTGCAGATACGGATTCTACGCCACAAAATACGTAAATTTTGTCCGAAACTTTTTTTTTGATTCGTGATAGATGGCGCTGTAATCGCAAAAAATTATATTTTCCACAATTCTCCAGAAATGATCATTGGATTGAGAAATAAAAAATACCTGTTCAATATTTGTAAAGAACATAATAAAAGTTATTCCCCCCCCCATCCTCTCGGGGTAGGGTGGGTGATAACGTTCTAATCTCAAATGGGGACCCACATTTTTCATTGCAGAATTAGATTGTACGTGAAATTTTTATTGAAACAATTTTTTTCATTCGTGATAGATAGCGTTGAATTTTTCCGAGAAACTACTTTTAGCGTTACACAGGAACAACGACGAGGACGTAGTAGTTTTATGTTCCCTTCGGGTGCTTTTTTAATGTGAGTCCCCTTGCCTCTCACAGATCGGGTGCTTTTTTAATGTGAGTCCCCTTGCCTCTCACTGTTCAATTAATTAGAGTAAGTGTTCGAAATTTTTACCTTCAACTTCAATACACTTATTGATCCTTTAATAAATAATATAATAAAATTCAACGCTATCTATCACGAATGAAAAAAATTGTTTCAATAAAAATTTCACGTACAATCTAATTCTGCAGTGAAAAATGTGGGTCCCAATTTGAGATTTGAACAATAACATAAAAATATTGGTAACACAACACTTGTTATATTACGTGTTATATTCCAGTTACATTACTGTTATATTTTTATAACAAGTATATAACAGAATAATATAACAGTGTCATAACACAGTTATATTGCAGTTAGGAATAGGAATAGGAATAGGAATTGCAATAAGAAATTATATAACCTCAATATTAATAACATGTAACAGCAGTTATGTTGCATGTTACTTCTGTGTTATATAACATTTATATTCTGTGTTTGCTGGGTATATATACATATATATATATATATATTTATGGGTATATATATATATATATATATATATATATATATACGAGGGTGGTCCGATAAGTACTTAGCCTACAAAAGAAAAACGGAAATTTTGGAAAAGTGGCGATTTATTTCTCAACATAGTCTCCTTTTAGCTCGATACACTTAACCCAGCGATGCTCCAACTTCTTTAACCCGTCTGAAAAATACGTTTTCTCGAGGTAGGCTCTCTGCAAAGTAGGCCTCCGTGGCGGCGATGACCTCCTCATTCGACTCAAATTTCTGCCCGGCGAGTGACTTTTTCAAGTTTGGAAACAAAAAGAAGTCGCACGGGGCCAAATCTGGAGAATACGGTGGATGAGCCAGCAGTTCGTAGCCCAATTCGACCAATTTGACCGTGGCGAAGGCGGAGGTGTGAGTCGGTGCGTTGTCATGGTGGAAGAGCACTTTTTTTTTCGCCAAATGGGGCCATTTTTTCTGCAATTCGGCGTCGAATCGGCCCAATAATTCGGCATAGTACAGCCCTGTGACCGTTTTGCCCTTCTCCAGGTAGTCGATGTAGATCACACCTTGTGAATCCCAGAAAACGGTGGCCATCACCTTTCCGGCCGATAGGACAGTCTTCGCCTTCTTCGGAGCACGTTCGCCGGGTGAAGTCCACTGTTTCGACTATTCCTTGGTCTCTGGTGTGTACCAGTGGATCTATGTTTCGTCGACGATCACCAAACGACACAGAAACTCCTTCGGATTGCGCTTAAACAGCGTCAAACACTGCTCTGAAGTGGTCTCACGGTTGCGCTTGTTGTCCGGAGTGAGCAAACGCGGCACTCATCGCGCCGACAGCTTTCTCATGCCCAAAATTTCATGCAAGATATGACCCACGCGGTCTTTTGAGATGCCTACTGTCTCAGCTATCTCGCGCACCTTCAATCGGCGGTCTGCCAATACGAGATCGTGGATTTTTGTCATGTTATCCTCCGTGGTAGCCGTTTTCGGGGCACCTGGGTGTGGCTCATCAAAAACCGACCTGCGACTACGTTGAAACTCGTTAAACCAATTTTTGACGGTCGCCATCGAAGGAGAAGAGTCACCGTACACAGCATCCAAGCGCTCTTTGATTTCGCTGCGCGATTTCACTTCCAAAAACAAGAATCGAATCACCGACCGATATTGCTCTTTTTCCATTTTTCTAAAATCCGCAGACACGCCCGCTTCCACACGCGGTCAAAACAAAACTACGAGTCCGATTCGGCTGAAATTTCGACAGTAGCCGTCTACGAGAATGTACTATACGATAATAAATTTCTCTTGCGATAGTGGCGCCATCGGGCGGTGAGGCTAAGTACTTATCGGACCGCCCTCGTATATATATATATAATACATACAATTATAATGAATAGTATATGTCAGATGGAACCAGAAGATATATCCAAATGAGTAAAGCAATGACAAGCAATTATTGTATGTTTTATTTTAGTTATTCTAGTTTAGTAACCCAAGTAACACAGTCTGGCAATATTCGCTGTAACAGCAAAAATGTGTCTGGAATAACGTCCTATCAACCTTAATTACAGCTATTTGGCAATAAAAGCTATTTTACTGAATTTTTAACTATAAAAACGTTGCGACGACTAATGAAAAAGTCCAAATGCAGCCCCAGCTATTTCAGTTGTATCAATAGCTGTAAAGTAGTTGTGACAGTTAATAAAAAAGTCAAAATACAGCAGCAATTATTTTAACCATATCAATAGCTGTAAAGTAGTTGTGACAGCTTATAAAAAAATCAAAATATAGCCGCAACTATTGTAACTGTATTAATAGCTGTAAAGTTGTACCAGCTTCTAGAAAAACCGAATTTTCTTTAGACATTTTGCTACTTATTTTTGCTCATCTTCAGTATCATCAAACTGACTCAAATATTTTTCAACTTTAATAACAGCTTAAAATGTTGTAAAATTCCTCCTTTTCACACTTTTCACATTTTTGTTTAGACTAATTATTAAAGTCTGGCAAAATTTTATCATTTTTGCGAAGGTTCAATCCCTTTCTTCCTGATGTCCAAAATAAGACGCCGTTTTTCCCCAACTCTCGAGCACAATACATAAATTAATTTCGTCATCCTCAATCGTTTCTACTATTACGAACATCTTAAAATTTTTCCTTTACTACACAGCACTTGTCAGCTCTATTTCTTAGATTATATCATAATCGGATGTATGTATATGTGCACCAGGTGAAAAATTATCACGCACGTGCACCATGAGTAGTATAGAGGTAAGTATAGCCAGTCAAAACATTCTCTCTCCACTCGACCCTTCGGCGCCACTAGACTACGCCCACCGGCGCCGAAGAGTCGAGTGGAGGGGGAATGTTTTGAGTGGCCATACCTCCCCCTATGCTGAAAATGGCGGAAATTTGAATCACCGAAATAAAAATTAGCGTAACTTAAATATTAAATTTTTATTATTTATATTAGGCGTTGTTAGTGATTCTCTAGCTCTTGGTCAGCTGGTTAATTTACATATTACTTTTGGAAAAATCTCCTAGGCATTCTGTGAGGGCTCGGAACCCGGAACCTCAGGCTCTTGAGTCAAACGTTTTACCACAGCTCTACTGCTATTCTTTGGTAGAAACTGGTTTCACGGCGTATACGTAGAACGGAGAGGTGTGTGTGTGTGTGTGTGTGTGGTTAGTGCGAAATCTCTGGAAAAATCCTGTTGGCCCTCTAGCCGAGAATTCGAACCTGGGTCCGTTGGCTTTCGAGTCAAGCGTTTTATGCACTACGCTACTGCTATACCCTGATAGAAACTAGCTATATTGTATATATACGAAGAGTATTGACGTCACGCGTGAAAAATTTGGCAAATTCTAGAACCTACGGGGCTCAAGCCTCCACCATGAGACCACGGCTCTCGAATCTCGTGAGCATGTGCGAGCATGTTCGTGCAGGTAGGGATCATTTCGAAGACAAAAACTACTCAGTAATTGTTGGAAGACGATACCTCTGGTCTATGTCTACCCGAATATTTTTACCTGTGCGAGTCCTTCTTTCGAACTCGAAAAGTTTACAACGGGATTTGTTACCTCGAACTGGAAATCACAGGAAAGAGAGAAGAGGTGAAGAGAAAGGAATGCACAATATTTTTCATGGAATTAATTCACATTTTATCTTTTATGATTAAGATGAGACATTTATTAAAATGGCTCGTACAATTTTATTTAAATAAATCGAAGTAATTTCTTGAAATATAATGTGGAAATAAGTATCTAGAAACGTTAAATCTTTTAATTGCCGACGTACATTTTGCTCGATTTTCTGATAGTTTGCGAAGAACGTCTGTTTCACGATGTCCTCGTCTAAGTTTTTCTTGGGAAACATGAGTTCTATCTCCGTTACGAGAAACCGGGCGCAATCGTTTACAAGTTTTGCAAACGTTTGCAGTTGTTCACATCGAGCGTCAATACATTCTGTTATAAGTTCTAACCCGTCAAGAAATGTTGCCTGCATCATGATGTTTACCGTGTAGACTTTTCGTTTCTTCGTCGGCGACTGCTGTCCCTGGGATGAATCGGTAGGCATCCTCTTCGATGCGGTGTTCACCTCGGTCGTATTCGTATTTTCAATCCCCATAATCGCCCTTGTCCCATACGCCGTGGTAAAGATGATGGTCACATCGTTTACATGGACGGGCTCCGGCACGGCCCTGGTTACCGAGTGCAAGTAATCGTTTCAAGTAATGTTTCATGTACTCCTTAAAATTTTCCCATGTGGCGAAGTCGAAACTGGATCCCTGTAGAAGTATTGCCGAATAGACAATTATTGTAGGCTCGAACGATGTCCCATCGTTTGATGCTCGTAATCCGATTTGCATCCTCTTGATATCCGAAGTGTTGAGGGGATAAGTAGTGGAGAGAAGCATATAGCTCTCATAACGAGCCTTCCCGGAGTCACCATACGCGATCTTCTTAAATTCTGCGTTTGCGTTAGTATTCGCCATTATGTTTCTCACAAGAACTTATTATCCCACAGGTGAAAACACGAGAACTAATATACTTCGTCGCACGAAACGAGTACTAAGACTGAAGAAGCTCAAATAGTTTGGGCCCAGCCCAATGGGCTTCTTATAGGAAAAAGAAAAGTGGAGGGGTAGTTCTGTGTGCATACAACAATTAAATTTATTTCTTAATATTTGTTAAATGATTCGGCCTGGAACGTTCTAGAATTTCTCAGAACGGAGTATATGTGTTCCTACAGGTTTCATGATGTCGTGGGAGCAGGCGTTATTTGTCGAAGCAGCGGATGGGAAAATACGTTTTATGGTCTTTTGCAAAAGTTTCCAATCGGACTCTATTGTAGTCAAAACCGATTATATCGTCCATCCTTACATCTAAATTTATGTTTAGATAAACACATTTCTACAAATCGTTTGTGTACACCGCAAAGGAATGGCGCACATTTTTTCACATCTGATAATTTATAAAAACGAGAAGGTTTATTCTTTGCGGTCGCGATAAGGTTTATTCTTTTGTGACTGAACGGAATGCGCGAACCCTGCAAATTCCGACGGGTTTTATGTTATCGCGGGAATAGGCATTATATTTGCCGAATCAGTGGATGAGAAAATGCCCTTTACATCTCTTTTGTGAACCGGAGTCCTATCCTAGTCAAAACTGATTATATTTTCTTCCATGCATCTAAATTTAGATAAACAGACAATTCTACAAAACGTTTTTCGTGTAGGCCGTAAGGGAACCGCACGGAACTCGCATTTTTCACGTCTGAGAATGCGAGATATAGATATGAGAAGAAAAAGGTTTATTCTTTTATAGCAGGAATAATGTGATCCTTTAACAGATACCAAATTCTGCGATAAAACTAGACGAGTATATTGCCGAAAAGCGTTGGTATAGTTAGTCCCGTCTTATTTACACAGGCATTCGTGGAGGTTTCCCAAAATTTTGGAAGATCCATGTTATATAAAAGTGTTCGAAGCTGCTGCGACGTATTTTACTGTTTCCATCGTTTCGAACAACATTCCTATTCCGTGATAGTGAAAGTATAATCGTGAAATTCGTGAAAGTATAAGAAGATGACGCAGCTTTTCAAAATTGTACGTGACTATCGCAGCGTCAGTAGCAAATTCAATAATCAAACGTGGGAAATATCTACGCGAACTCGCGAGTGATAATAATGAGAAGACATATGAAGTATTTTATAAATTCGCGGCCATATGCAGTAGTGGCGATGTTATTCGCTTGCGGGCAATTTAAAAATAATCCTTGCTTGCTTGTGATCGCAGCCGAGATTGTAGAAGCAAGAAGATTACTCGGAGAGAAGAAGAAGATTTCGGTGACCGTGTTCAGGACATGATCCTTTCCGCATTGTAAGTAATTTCCTTTCGCTGTGATGTGACATAAAAGAATAAGTATAATAAATGGTGGTGTTCACAGATACGTTCTTGTGTTCTTCATTTTGTCAGTTCTTACCAATACTGTAAGTAGCGAAAATCCAAAGAGCCGCTCTCGCTCGAGTATAAGGCTTCCTTGTCAACGAAATCTGCCCGTGAGTATAAGGAGAAATAAATATAAGATTATTCTCTTGTAGAGCCTCGTGTTTAATATCGAGTTAAATTTTAGCAAGTCGTAATAAATAGCGAGAACTGACAAAGATATCGCCTGCAATATAAACGAAAACGACATTGATATTAGTCATGACGACGCAGTTCACGTCACGGGTAACATCATCCAGTACGATGACAATGGAGTCGATGAAACGATGCAAGACGCAAGTGAAGCTGGTGAAACCCAGGACTTTCGAATCTCGCAGGCTACACTAATCGAAGGTAAGAAAAGGTAAGAGAAAATGTCTTATACTCTTAGTTGTGTTTTTATTCTAATTGTATGTAAAATTTATACCCGTATAACATTTTTAATTCATATTTACAGTACAACAGGGTAGTGGATACGAAAAAACATCGAAGGGACAAAAGCGAAGACCAAAGTGTGCGAAGCGAAAGCCGACACAGTCAACAACCGTGAGTCCTTATATAAATGTATTGAAATACTCAGGGAAAAGTCGCGTAATTATAGAAAATTTAATATTCTCGGGAGGGAGTCGAATATTCGAATTCTCCCACCTCCAGAAGGAGCCAACATTACTGAATATTAGAAAATGCTTCTCGGGAAATCCACGATTACGCGGTAAATTCGGGCGGCGCGAACAACTATGTGGGGTTGACACTTGCTTCTTCGGACTTAACGCGAGGGTCTGCGGGTTTATCGCTTCGCCCCTCTCGGGACTTGACCTACAACGAGATTTGGAATCTCGTGAATTCGTTAGCGCAGAGTGCCGGAGGTCATGATATTTTAGAACATTTCAAAATTAATATTTTCAACGTCGCGGCACCTTCTGGTCGTGGAAAGAAATCATATAAACTAATTCACGAAGATATAGCGAAACGCTCGATCCTTACTATAAACAACTTTGACAATTTGTGCTTTCTCTGTTCGCTCGTCGCTGCGATAGTGTACAATGAACGCGGCAATGTGCGCACAGGAGAAATACATGATAAATGGAATTCCGTGAGGAAGCAATATTCTATATTACAACGAAACCTAGCGGTCGAACTGACACGGAATGCCGGTGTCTATATACTTGAAGAAGGGTGTGGTATTCCCGAGATCGAGCGTTTCCAGCATTATCTTGCCAGCAACGATATCGTGATCGTTGTTTATTACTTTAGTTCCTTCGCACGTGGTGCGCCCCCCATGTACGATGCTAACAGCGTACTCACCTCACACGAGCGCGAAGCTAAAATGATTTTGAATATTATGTACTACAAAAAATCCCGGCATTACAATCCAATATTAAATTTAAGAGCTGCATCAGGCAGAGAAGGTTATTGTGTACGTTGTAATAGCGCATATAAGCCGGTGTTACGTCCTGCGGTCTCCGCGTATTCTAGATCTTTTATAAATAGAGCGAATTGGCACTTTAAATGATAGATTCAACAAACATGTTTCGCGACCCTTCGAACACGATGACATCACCGATCATTATATACCGATTTCTCTTTTTTCTTTATCTCCCCCTAGACCAAAGTACTCTTTTGTTTGTCAGGAAAATCCAGTCAGGAAAAAATTAAGTCACATCCTCACGAACTCACAACTTTTCCACGTCCCGTCATATTACCCAATAACTCTCACTAAACCTAACGGGATGACGAAATCTCTTATCGCCATAGATACTCCATCCTTTACAACAATGCAACGCAACTCCAAAATCCCGCCTCTAGAAAAGTTCTAATAAACTTTAGACCCTGACTCAATTCTAAACTCTCACCTCCAAAAATGTTAACAACAAAGATCTAATAGATGGACATAGACCCTTAGACCCTGACTCAATTCTAAACTCTCACCTCCGAAAATGTTAACAACAAAGATCTAATAGATGGACATAGACCCTTAGACCCTGACTCAATTCTAAACTCCCACCTCCGAAAATGTTAACAACAAAGTTCACAATTTCTACAACCCCATCCTCTCAACCGAGGTGACGTTTTAAGTAAAACGAAAAGGCTAGCACATTATTCGCCTGACCAGCACCTGAGTTGGAACCACAAGTTTGGCATCCAAAGATCTTTCTTTTGTCGTTTAATTTTTACACTCAGGCATTTAGACGTGGAGTTGGTCTAAACGTTCTCTCAAAGTTTAATTATTATCCGCTGCCTAAAAAGAGAACATAGTTGTGTGTAACATCGCCGTTGACGAATTGGAAATCCGAAAGCGACAGAGCCAGCGTTGCACACCTACGCAGATCAGCAACATTTTCCTTTGGTTGCTCTCACTCTCTCTCTGCTTTGGAACCAGCAGTAATTTTTACTTTCTTTATTATCTACCCTTCCTATAACCATTTTATTAATTCCCGTTATTATGGAAATCCGGTTTTAGTGGGTCATTATCACAACGTTGGAATAACTATCGAGAGCATTTTCCAAACGCTCGAGTCGGTTTTTGACTCCAGAGATCCCGACCAACTAGCGTCTCCATTATCTCCGCGCGATAATTAAGGTGGCGCTAGGAACCGACTACCATCCAGATCCTACACTCCTACCCCCTTACCTTCTCCCTCATATTCCCCTTGGTACTCCGCTTTCTTCTCCTACATGCGCGTCTACGCCTTCAACTCCTTCGATATCCTATTCCCCTCTTTTCTTTCTCTGAACAACTCACTCCTCAAAATTCACCTGACCACTCTCGTTCCCCTTCACCCGACTGATCCTCTAAATTCGTTTTCCTTTCTTTCTCCATTCCCCCCAAAACACACACACGTACACATACATATATACCGCGTAATTGTAATTCGTTATCATTAAAGTATACCATACCGTTTGTTAGCGTAATAAATTTGTTTGTTCGTCTTATTTTTCTCACCTAATTGATTTTAAAATCACCTGCCTACCCTATTTTCCTCAACTGTCGCTCATGGTCCTATCCCCGGTAAAGGGATTCGCGTCCCTGACCGAAAAACGGACCGCTCGTCGTACGTCAGAGACCGAGTAAAGGAACCCGCCGGGTTCCTGACCCGTTCCCTGGCACGCATGTACGATCGAGGCTCGCCTTTCCGGCGAACGGAGAAGTTGCGCTCCTCCTGTAGGACGTACCACCGGAAAGAGGGCATCGGTGCTCAAACGCATGTCCACGGTGTTACGGCGTTCCAGCATGCGAGGTATCAGGCGTAGAACTAATACGATGTGCCGCGTGTTAACGTGAATTTTATGGGTCGGTGTGTTTCGAGCGTCATCGTAAGCAAAAATTGCTCCAAGGCACTTCTTATTTGAGCATCTGTAATATCCTGAGAATTTGCAGCGACTGTGGCCATTTGCGAAACTTGAGGAACAAACACAATTGTAATGAGATCTTTTGTCGTGTTTGCAACGCGTTGCAACCAATGAATCATCTATGCTATATGAAACCACTTCGATGCGACACTGGTTCATCCGACACGATGAATCCGCAGCGAGTAGGAAAGGAAAACGTAGTTGATGACATTGACGAAGCGACAGAAACAAGCGTTAGTAAGCGTTAGTAAGCAAGAAATAAGCGCATAAAAGGTCGCATCGCGTTTGTATTCTATGATTTTGAGACGCGTCAAGACGATACGATCGAAGGCACAGAAAACGTTAAAACCCACGTTATGACGCTCTGTGTTGCGTAGCAGATATGTGAAAGCTGCATGAATGTAGACGATATGGCGTTGCGATGTCGTTGGTGCGGGATACGCGAATTTATATTTCAAGACAATCCGGTGAAACAATTCGTCGATTTTGTCACGAGACCGAGGAAGAGTTTAAAACAGATCATCTGCATCGCACACAACGCAAACGAATTCAATGCACAATTTATCCTACTGTATTTGGTTAAGAGCGGTAATCGGGTGGAACCTAAGCTTATTTTAAACGGTACGAAGATCATATTGTTAACCGTTAGACAAACAAAATCTATCAACAGTGTTAATTATATGCCTATGCGCTTGTCAGCATTACCAAAAGCCTCCGGGTTAAAGGATACTGCAGGCAAAGGCCTGTTTCCGCATTTATTTAACACTGTCGAAAATCAACATTACATCGGACCGATACCAGATGCAAGATACTATTTTCCCGAAACAATGAGACCGCCCGAGTGTGAGCGGTTTTTAGAATGGCACGAGGACATGGTGCGCAAAAATATAGAATTTGATTTCCAACGGGAAATTGTGAGCTATTGCCGGAACGATGTCGATATTCTTCGACGGGCTTGTCTTGCGTTCCGTAAGATTTTCCTGGATCATGGAAAAGTATTTCCGTTTGAAGAATACACAACCATCGCCTCTACGTGCATGAAAGAATTCCGTAAAAACTTTCAGCGTGAAAAGGAGATAGGTATTGTTCCTTCGGGTTGGTATCGGCGTGTCAACAATCAATCCCGCAAAGCGTTAAAATGGTTGTTGTGCATGGAACGCGAGCTCGGTTATACTATAACATATGCAGGTAGACCTCGTGAACATCGCATACCGGAAGGGCTGTTCATTGATGGGTATTACGAAACAACGAATCCTGCGCAAAGACACGTGTTACAATTTCAAGGGTATTTTTGGCATGGATGTTCCGCGTGTTTCAAGATGAATCGTGATAGCCCGCTCGCGACCACCGTGAAGGGAGATACTATTGAGTCGCGATACGAGCATACACGCATGACAACATCTCATATACAGAAGCTAGGTTACATCGTACCGGAGAAGTGGGAGTGCGTCTTCGATAGGGAGTTGCAGGACAATCAACCGATGCACGATTTCCTTGCGAATCACTCGATGTTAGAAACTGAGCCTCTCGATCCTCGCGAAACGTTCTTCGGTGATCGTACAGGGAACATCGTCACCCGGTGCGATGTAACGGGTACGAAGAAGATACGTTACGTAGACGTATGCTCCTTGTACCCGTTTGTGCTAAAGAAGGGCTCTTTTCCGCTCAGTCATCCGGACATGTACGTGGGCGAAGAATGTTCCGCCTTGATTCGTATAGCTCCCGATTTTGACTTTAGCATAGTGGAGAGGATCGTGCGGTGCAAGGTACTCGCTTGGCGTGATCTCTTTCACCCTGTACTCCCATTTCGCGTTCGCGGAAAATTATTGTTCGCCCTATGCCGTAGTTGCTGCGAGACATTTTCTCAATCTCCATGCACACATGATAATCCGACCGATCGATAATTCGAGGATACCTGGGTATCCTGTGAATTACGCAAAGCTATAGAGAAGGGCTATAGTGTCAGATCCGTGAACGAGATATGGAAATATAAGATTTCTCAGTACGACCTAAGTACTCGGTTGGGGGGTATGTTCGCGTGATATATCAACTGCTTTCTGCAATTTAAGCAGGATGCTAGCGGATGGCCTGCTGAATGCATCAACGATGAAGAGGCCAAAGAGCGATACCTGCGGAAATACGAAAAAACAGAGGGTATTGTTTTCGATAGAAACAACATCGCGGTAAATCCTGTGTTGCGTTCGGTTGCAAAGTTTTGCCGCAATTCGTTCAAATTCGATCAGCGATCTAATCTGCCGAATACCGAGGTCGTTAAGACACACGAATATTTCATGTCGCTGCTTACGTGTCCCGAGCATGAAATCATAAACATGTTGCCTGTGAATATTGAACGATGAGGTTCTCTACGTCTCATGGCGATTACGACAAGAGACGCTTGTTCCCTCTGCAACTACAAACGTCGTAATAGCGGCCTAGGCTAGGCGACGACACAGGCACGCTTGAGATTATACGTTTATTTAGAAAAATTAGATCGTAGAACGTTATATTATGATACTGATTCATGTATATACGAGGGTAGTTTGATAAGTCAGTGACTTTTTTAATAAAAGATATTTTTTTCGGCAAATAAGCGTTTTATTTCTCAACGTAGTCTCCTTTTAGCTCGATACATTTAGTCCATCGTTTTTCCAATTTTTTTGTTCCTTCCAAATAATAGGTTTTCTCAAGGCCCTCAAAATAGGCGTTTGTTTCAGTGATGATCTCTTCATTCGACCCAAATCTCTTACCGCCCAGCCATTTCTTCAGGTTTGGAAACAGGAAATAGTCGCAGGGGGCTAAATCTGGTGAATATGCTGCATGGGGTAACAATTCGTAGCCCAATTTATGGATTTTTGCCATGGTGACTACACACGTGTGCACCCGTGCATTGTCCTGATGGAAGCACTTTTTTCTTCTCCAAATGCGGTCGTTTTTGCTTCAAATCAATATCGAATCTGTCCAAAAGCTCTGAATAACATTCGCCGGTGATCGTTTTACCCTTTTCAAGGTAATCGATGTGAATGATACCGCGTGCATCCCAAAAAACTGTGGCCATGACCTTGTTGGCCGACAGACCCACCTTGGCTTTCTTTGGTGCACGTTCACCCGAAGAAACCCACTGTCTTGATTGTTCCTTGGTCTCTGGTGTGGTGTGATGGATCCATGTTTCGTCTACGGTAACGAAACGGTGCAAAAACTCGTTCTGATTGCGGCTGAACATCGCCAAACACTCCTTTGAAATAGTCACACGGTTGCGCTTATGGTCGAGTGTGAGCAATCGCGGCACCCATCGCGCGGATAGCTTTTTCATGTCCAAATATTCATGTAAAATGTGATGTACCCGCTCAGTTGAGATGCCTACAGCCTCAGCCACTTCACGCACTTTCATTCTTCGATTGTCCAATATCATTCCATGGATTTTATCGACGATTTCTGGCGTGACGACCTCTTTTGGGCGACCTGAACTTTCGGCGTCACTTGTGCTGGTACGACCATAACGGAACTCAGTAAACCACTTCTTAACCATTGAAATTGATGGTGCAGAGTCCCCATAGTATTTATCAAGCTTTGCCTTGGTTTCGGTGATGGTTTTTTTACGCAAAAAATAATGCTTAATCAGCACACGAAATTCACTTTTTTCCATTTTCGTTAAAATTCACGAGGTTGTCTGCTTTCAATGGCTGTCAAACACTAACTAAATGGCGCAGCTTGCCCAAACTTGTACAGTAGTCTATTAATAGATGGCAGTTGACGGGAGCAGTGCTGCATTTAAAGTTACTGCGCAGAAAATTCAAAAAGTCACTGACTTATCAAACTGCCCTCGTATTTGAGCACCGGTGACCCCAATGAGTACGAGCCGCATACGGGTAATTTTTTGGGCAATATGACAGATGAACTCGAAAGTTATAGTCAAGGTAGCTACATAGAATTCTTAGTATCTGGAGGCCCAATATTTTATGCCTATGTTGTTTGCACTCCACAAGGTAAAATCCATGAAGTTTGCAAAATAAAAGGGATAACCTTGAACTTTGAGACTTCGAAATATATTAATTTTAGTAGTATAAAAAATTTATTAATCACCAATAAAATACCTATCGATGAGAACGAGGAAGAGAAGAAGGAGGATGCGAGGAAAACTTCGATAAATCTACATTTTAGAGCGATTCGTCGTACAGCGTTTCACGATATTGTAACGAGAGACGAGGGCAAGTCATGCGTGCCGATGCTCCTAAAACGTAGATTCGACGACACAGGTCACTCTGTGCCATACGGTTACGTAGTGGCGTAAGAATAGTAGAGCATGTTCTTTCTTCTCCAAATCTAAACACTTATTTGTAGAGTAGAAAAATTTAAATATAGACGTTTCCCCAAAAGCGATCAACCTGTATATCGCGTATGCACTAGCTCTATAAGAAACTTTTGAGCAAACTGTATGTATATATTTTATTAAAATAGAGCTTTTGCAAAATAAAGAGGAAATAAGTTCTTTTACAAATATATATGTATTTCTATCCTTGTATACGACCCCCGAATCATAGTAAAATCTTAGCAAATTATATCGCTAGAAGCAGTCTCTTTCACGCTTGAATCATGGAAAGAGCCAAGAACATGGTACTGATATCTACGGATAATCTCGAGAGATTGCAGCAACAGGCTCATATATCATCGACTTCAGCGTCGTCGCTGTCGTCTTTCTCGACTGCGATCCCCTCTGTTTTGACAGATAATACCGCAACTGGGCTGAAATAGCACCAGTAGAGAATGAAAATACGGTGCGTACTCCGGGTTCCGTCCTGTCGCGTCTCGATGCCGAGATGCATATTAGGTGCGCAACTAAGTTCTCGCTGTTTTTTTGATCAAAATGCAACTTTATTGTGAAAAAATGGTTACAAATGAATCATTCAAAATATTGCCCATCACTAGCGATAACTTTCTCCCATCTTTCTGGCAGAGCTCGAATACCGTCACGGTAGAAGTGTTCGTCTTTTGAGGCTATCCACGAATCAAGCCATTTTGAGATGTCTTCATATCAGCGGAACTGCTGATTAGCCAGACCATGTGCCATCGAACGGAACAAGTAATAATCGGACGGCGCAATATCTGGGGAATATGGCGGGTGGGGTAGGACTTCCCATTTGAGCGTTTCTAAGTAGGTTTTAACGGGTTTGGCAACGTGAGGCCGAGCGTTGTCATGCTGTAGAATCACTTTTTCGTGCCTCTGCTCGTATTGTGGCCGCTTTTCGCGCAGTGCTCGGCTAAATCGCATCAATTGAGTTCGATACCGTTCCCCAGTGATGGTTTCGTTCGGTTTCAACAGCTCATAATAAATAACACCGCCATGGTCCCACCAAATACACAGCAAAACCTTCGCAGCGTGAATATTCGGCCGAGCCGACGACGTAGAAGCATGACCAGACAGTCCCCATGATTTTGTTCTCTTTGGGTTGCTGTAATGAATCCATTTTTCATCACCCGTAACGTTGCGATGAAGAAAACCCTTCCTTTTTTGCCGCTGGAGCAGTTGTTCACAGACGAAAAAACGACGCTCAACGTCTCTTGGCTTCAAATCATAAGGAACCCAAGTTCCTTGTTTTTGAATCATTCCCAACGCATGCAATCGCTTGGAAATAGCTTGGCGGGTAACTCCTAATGCTGAAGCAAGCTCTTTTTGCGTTTGGCACGGATCCTCATCGAGCAATGCCTCCAATTCAGCGTCTTCGAAGGTTTTTGGCCTTCCTTCACGCGAACGGTCGTCAACATCGAAATCACCGTCTTTGAAGCGACGGAACCAATCACGGCACGTTGTTTCACTTAGAGCAGCATCTCCGTAAACTTTTTGGAGTTCTCGATGCGCTTCAGCCGCCGTTTTCTTCGAATGAAAGAAGAAAAGCAACACTTCCCGCAAATGACGATTATTTGGCACAAAATAAGACATTTTCATACAACCAAAAGTATATGACGCAAAAACAAAATCACTAATGTGTCAAAGCGGTTTGTTTACCATATGTCTAAGCTTGGTTCATGACGTTTTGGTTATGTCACAATCGACAAGCACTTACTACTGGAGCCATCTCTTGAAAAACAGCGAGAACTTAGTTGCGCACCTAATAGAATTTTCAACTCTCCGGTCCTCGGAGGAGCACGGGAGTAATGGAAATTGTATAGAGAAGTACTTAAGCGATATCTGTACTTTTTTCGAGAGCGGGAAAAACACCGATTGCGCGGAAAAAAAGAAGAGAAGTCTGTTGTTGGTGAGGTCGACGGTGATGAAAACGGTGGGGAAAGGGAAAACATCCCTCGCGAAGATAACGATTACACTTACGAAAACGCGGTAGAAGAAAACGCTGGTATGACTGTAAATGAAGATATTCCCAATATAGAGACAGGCGTACATCGAACGTTGAACGCTTCGCAGCACGCACGAGCCGTCACCACCGCACGAACGAACAGAAAAATATTGGAAGAATACTGAATAAAGTGCCAAAGACTTACCGAGCTAAAGCGCGCAAGCTGCTGGCACATTTGTGTGATGCGGCGGTGCCCGGACGATTAAGCTGGAACAGACAAGGATTCGTGACAATAGATGATAGAATTCTGAGAGGATCGAATATCGTCGGTCTCTCGAACGACGTGGCTCGCGAAAGAAAAACTAGCAGAGCGGTAGCGAGAGTACAGTTTGCACGACTTTTGCATGAAGTGAATACTTCTCCGGAATTTGTAGGAAATCGGGAATTACTGGAGGAAGACACGGAAGAAAATGATCTTTCCGCGAGATTGAAAAAACTCTTCCGAGAAGTAGCAGTACCCCGCTCCCGTCACCTAACGATCAACTTTGGTCTAAACGTAAGATTGCCCAGACGTCGCTTGAAGAAAAGGATCACGAGGATGGACGGGCGCTGTTTGTAACAACCAATGAGAATAGAAATAAAACACATATAAGCGGTGACGTTTCTAAACCAACGAATAAAAGATGCATGATAGATTGGAACCCGTTTGAATTGAGTATAGCTTCTTCAACGGCTAACAGCTATGCACATCGACTTCCACCAGCGAAGGGGCGAACGTGCAAGCGTGCTATCGGGGAGACGTCTTTCGCAGGAGAAGAACGCGACGGTGAGCGTGTACACGCAACATTTATAACTTCTGATCAATATAGGCGTAAAACGCGAGTGAGCGACAACGCATCTAAATCAATGAGTAAAAGACGTTTGATCAATTGGAACACGCTGTTTGGACGAGGTCGACGACAGTAGTCGCTAATACGGACAATCATGATCGTCCGAGACAGCACTAGGTCGCATTCTACGTCGATTGAAATGGAGCGGTCACATATTTCGACAGCTACGGGATGCCACCT